AATACACACAAGCCCACAATATCTCTTTAAAAGTTTCCCAACATGATCCTTAACTACCCCTCGAATACCACAATATCTCTATAAAATTGTCACATTTCCTTCGTACACCAATGACTCACATTCATGGAATCACCCTCAATCATTGTTACAAAAATCAGACAATTTAACCGCTAACCGCCCGGTTAGATCAAAACCGGCCAGTGGCCAATTCCAGTTTTAGGCGGTTTTGGTCACCGACCAGTATTTTTAAAAAAAAATTCAAAAAAATGTATATAAAATGTCAAAAATAAGAAATTTGGTTTTTAATGCATTTTTAATATTCTGTACATTATGGTAAAAATTAAATTTTGTTTTTTCATTAATACTCACATCAATTCAAAAATTGATTTATTAAAATCAATTTTTTTTTATTAATTTTCAACTTCATCAAAAAGTTTTTTGTTTTAATAATTCTTTATATGTTTTTCATGTTTTAGTACATATTTTTTTCAATATTTTTTTGACCGCCTGGAACTTGCCTGGTTAGAATGGTGGAAATCGACCGATTTACCGGTTAGACTGGTTAAACCACTTCCAAGCCCATGTCCAGTAAACAGTTATGGTCGATTTTGTGAACACAGCCCTCATTGATCCATTTATCACCAATCATCAACTCTATTCCTGATGTAGGAGAAATTGAGGGAACAATTAAATTAGCAAGAAACAAGCCAAACACAAACAATTGGGGAGAAACCGTACGGTTTTCTCCCACCTAGGGTTCAAGCTTTAGGCTTTTTTTGACAAGACAATTTTATTTTCTTAAAAAGGAATACGTGAATGCCTTTCCACTCTATTCATGCTTTATTTATATTGAAATATTATTATTTCAAACAATATTTGTTCATACAATTAACTTTTAACCAAAAGGTTCTAACTTAAGTAAAACATGAAACTAAACTTCTTAATTTTTATTAAATTATCTAAAAAGTCCATAGGATTCCTACAAAACAAAAAAAACCCTATAATTAAATCCTAAAACCAAAATCATAATATACCTCCTTCAAAATTGAATAAAAATTAAAAATAAATATAATGTTTCCCTCTATCATGATTCCATGTTTAAACGCCCTCAAGCTATTTAAACCCCATAAACTCTTTCTTCTAGTGATTAAAAGCCCTGGCTTGTTCTCGAAATCGCCATGGATACTAAGCCTAAGTCCATGTCCGACTCAATAAAGTCGGTTGTCCAAGAAGACATTAGTAGACTTGCCCAGATCATAGGTTTATTCATTTGGACTGGCACCCTGTTGGGTCTAAGTGACTCTAGCAAGCCCGACCCTCAGTCACTGATTTTGTGAACATTGTTTCTTCCAAACTTTGACCCACTTTTTCCATACCTCTCCTGCAAGTAATCACCAGTTTCTTTGGAGAAATCTGAATAAAAAACAAACTTTTCGTCATACATCTTCTGCAAGTAATCACCGATCCCTTTGGAGAGATTTAAAAAAAAGAAAAAAAAAATTATCCCTCCTTCTCATCTCAATTAAACTTTCCTTGTCTAGATGGCTATCACCTTACTTTCATTTCAATCTAACTTTTGCTCTATATTATTTCCAATATCATATTGATGTTGAGAATGAGAATGGGGTTGGGGTCATGGTGGCGCACTACTTGTACCTCAACTAAAGTCTAGGATCACTTGAGGATTTAACATCTGAATCAAATAGCTCAGCTCTGCCACTTAAGGAGGCCACACCTTTTGCCCATCCTTATGTTCTGCTTGAATCGTTTCAGTTCAATGACCTTGACCAGGAAATAGTTCGGTTGGTTACTGTTTTGTGGAGGGATATGAATCGAAGGTGGTTCAACAAATGTGGGATTTGCTATTTCCTGGTGGCCAATCACTATGAGCGAAGTTAGAGAGGCTAGAATAAATTTCTTAATTGAAGATTACAAGTGATTGTAATTCCATATTGGTAAATGGGGGCATTTTTGTGCAGGGTAGGATAAGAAGATGAATAGGGCAATTTCAGGTAAGTGGCCATTGTGGTCTTGGAGAATGAATAACTCGTGTGAATGAGATGGTGAGTTGTATATTGGGTAGAGGGGATTAGGGATGAGGCGCTTTGTAGGTCCCTTTGTAGGTCTGGTGATTGGATGGCTATTAAAAGTGAGCAGAGATATTAGGGACAAAATTGTTTTGTTAGGCATCTGAGCGCGTTTGCACGATAGTAAATTTACTATCACGCAAGAAGTGATTTGAGAGCAAGGGATGTTAGTATTTTTTGTTTAAAAAATACTCGAGTGTATTTCAAAACAACAACTTCGGTTTTATAGATGTGGGGTGTTTTGTGTTTACCGAGGGATCTGAGATGGGAGTCAAGAGACCTATAGTTCCTTAAAATGTTGGTTTCTATTCAAGGGTGGAGAGTATTGATGTATCTTGGAGTAGAACTTGCCATTTGTAATATTACTTACACTTCTCTGTTGTACTCTTTGTGGTATTAGGAGTGGCTTACAATAATTGTCTTCCATGTTATGTCATGTCTCCTCCCCTCTGGAGTGTTTGATTGTGGGTGGTTAATTTTTAGGGAATGGGTGTAAAGGTGTAGGTAACTGCTTGTAGTTCATCATACTTTTGAAGCTTTTGGTCATGTCTTGAGGTGGGTTTCCTAGGTGAATCTGATTTCGAACGGCTCGGACTCGGATCGTGGGGATCGCCGGAATACTTCATATGGAACTTGCCAATATCGATTAGATCCGAGATCTGTTTCTGTTATTGAATTGCTCATTCAGTGAGCATTCTTAATGTCTTGAAGAGGACTCGACATGTTCCCCCTCTTCCGAGTCTATCACAAGGAAAATGAAAACCCAGACTTGCTATCAAACGGGAGCTACGAGCAAATAGAACGCTTTTCAGTAGTATCAATACAATCACATGGATCGTAAATGCATGCATGATGGCTTTCAATTTTTAAGATCATGGGTAGGTTCCTTGCTCCTAAAAGGTGCTGGAGTAGTAAAACCCTAGAAGACTAATAATACTTCAATTTAGATCCATTCACAATAACTTGGCAGAGCAATAGAGTTATAGTTGGGGACTCAGAAGAAAACTACCAATGATGAAAAAAATAACTAGGGGTGTGCACGAGGAAGTTTGCAATGTTCCCACTTTAATAATTTTGCCATGATATTGTTCACATATTATGCCTTTGTCCAGCTTTTGTTCCCAAGTACACATTTTCTAGATCTACACTCACAATAGTATATCGTTACACAAGCTAATGAAAATCTAATGGTAAGTTATAAAAAAAGGAAAAAATTACAATATTAATACAATAAAGATGCATTATATATTAGTACTCCATGCACAGTTTCTATGGGTCCTAGGACTAATGAGTCCCTTCTTAGAAATCCTAGATTTTGGAACTGACTCTTAAGGAATAAATAGTCTCTAACACAGAGGTCATCATCATCCAAGCCTTATCTCAACTATTTGGTATCGGCTACTGTTCCTCTAATCTTCTCTATCAAGGAAGATCATGAATATGTATAAATAAATAAATTTTAAAACTGGGAATGATAATTTTCTTAAGAAAATATTTAGACTATTAGTTTTAACTTTTTTTAGAACCACCCATTTGCATCCATCTTTTAGATGTATGCTTTATGCCTCGGGGGATGCAAATGTGGGAATGAGTCCCCCGATGCATACAACAATTTTCCTATTGCGTATTGAAACAAGATGTACTATATATTTCAAAATTATTTACTATGTATTGTACTTTATAAGTATGTATCATTGATTTTGGGAAATGCCAAGTTGTGTCCTTGCTTGTTGTATCTTTGGTTGTATCCCTAACTCTACTTATTGCTACAGAGAAACTTGATGAAAGTTGGAGGGGAACCAGTGCTATGTTATGTTGTTGTGTGGGAGGAGGAAGTGCATAGATGATGTGGGTGTGACCCATACTTTGTGGCTATGTTAAAAAGAAATGGTTACCTTTTCAATGTCTAACACATCTATCACTTGTCAGAAATACTAAACTTAAAATTGGCCTTTCAAGCATGGTATGTCAATTATTTAGAAGGAAAAGTAAGTGCTTTGAAGCGATATTAATTACTTTCATATGGATATCTCAAGAGTTAAGGTGAAGCGTCTGACGTATGTGTCATGTCTTGGTGTGTCGACATGTACCATAAACCACAGATACACCCGCCCAAGTTTACTTTGTAGCTTTCATTTCCCTCATTCAAATTTCCAAAATTACTTCTACTCAGTATTGGATCCCTAAACAATAGGGGAATTTTCGTAATTTGGTTTTCCTCAAGTGTCTCGAGCTAAATAATGAAACACTTCTAAGTTCTTATAGCAAGGAACTATCAAATCACAAAAATACTCATAATTGTTCAATATTAGCAATATGGAACTTAGATGTTTCAATAAAAAAATTATTCTCAACTTGAATGCCATGGGCTACTATGGTAATTTATCCTGAGTCACTTAAGTTGGACAAAATTACCAAATTTGTTCAAGGTTCCTAACCCTAATTATGGTAATTTAGGAATTTTTGACCTATTTTTTTGGAAAGTACCTTTATTAAGTTAAACTTGAGAAGTGATCTAGCAATAGAAAATGAGATCTTTTGAGCCCATAAATGATTTTGTAGGATAATTTGAGCTCTTGAATGATATTTTAACTCTGTGTTTAGAAAATTGACTCGGGCAAGGAAATCATCCTTTGCCTAAGCTGAGTTACTCTGATGAATCTAAGTAACTTATTCCACTAGAGTTAAAAGTTAAAAAAAAAAAAATCAACACAAAAATTAATTTGTTTATATTATAGCATCATCTAACTCTTTGATAGAAATCCTTGTTAGTAAGCTCTACTTGTCATTTAAGAGCCACCTTCCCTTACACAGCTGTGGCAGGATGAAAAAGAAAGCGGGTGAGAAGAGAAGCTCTCCCTTGGCCCTTGTTGCTATCTTACTTAATTATTTCTCAAGGATAACCTATAAGAGATGGTAGAAAGGTGCTCTATGCCACCGGAGTCCGCCACTTCCGACAGTGCCAAAGAAGAAGAACCCCAAGATACATATTACTCCTCTTACCTTCCCCCTCTCACCGATGAAGTTTTGCTTTTGATTCTGGCCCGCACCCCCTTCTTCGATCACCCCACCCTCCGTTGTCTCAATCGCCGCCACCGCACCCTACTTGAGTCTGGAGATCTCTACCGCACCCGCCAAGCCCATGACCTATGCCATCCCATAGTCTTCATGAGCGCTGGAGGTGGTTCCTGCTGGTTTGCCTTTTCCCCTGACTGGGGCCCCTGCCGCCGCCGCGGCTTCCGCCTCCCCCACTTCCCGAGCAACAACCGCTTTTATGATGGTGATAAGGAATCCACTTGTGCTGAAAGCCACCTTTTAGTCTCAAGCCTTGACCCTGAAGGCCCAACCGTATGGCGCTTTGAACTCGGGGCAACCACTGGTTTCAGGGGCCCAAAATGCTCTCAAAACGCAGTCTCTTCGCCTCGGCCAACTCGGGTTCATGTGCCTTTGTGGCCGGTGGGTGCGCTTATGTCACCAGCTCTTTGACTGCCCGTGTGCCAATGAACTCAGCTGAGCAATACGACCCTGAGACACGCACATGGAGACCGCTCCCACCTATGCACATAAAACGTACACATTGCTTAGGGTTCTTCATGAACTCGAAATTTTACGTCGTCAGAGGAGAGGGAGTGAACAGAGATGACTTAAAATGTGGTGAATTCTACGACCCTGAGATGAACGAGTGGGTACTCGTGGAGGGTATGCTCGGCGACAGGCCAATCCCAACAGGGTCTGATGGACGACCATTGCCGAGGTCACAGCCGCTGGTGGTAGTAGTTAACAGGTGCGAACTTTATGAGTTGGAGCCGTGCATGAATGCACTCAAGGTTTATGAGGAGGAAGAGAAAAGGTGGAGGGCAGTCGGGTTCGTGCCGGTGAGGGCAGACCAAAATGGGGGCTGGGGGGTGGCCTTTAAGTCATTGGGGGACAGGCTCTCGGTATTATTATGAGGGACAGGCTCTCAGATATCAAGTATCACCTAATACCTTCTTTAATTTACCTCTTGATACTACTATTTTTTTCTTCTCAAAGAATAAATGTTCATTATACGGTCTCAAACTGCAATCTCTCCATCCTCTCTCCTTTATACATCTTTAACAAACTCTAATCTACTCTCAGCTTAGACAACTAAATGTAACTGTTCTTTGAAACAGAACAAACCCTAGTCAGCTTTTTCTGAATACACCGACACAAGCTTAACCAGTAGAGGGTGTAGTTTATATAAAGTTAGCTACTTTATTTGTAGATACTTTATTTGTAGAAGGTTGTGATGCTCTACATTGTATATTTTAGTTGGATTGTGCAGATTTGATACATGTTTTAAGATAGTGTCAGATTTACACCATCCACATAAAATGAATGGTCTAGATTACTGCAACCTTTTTTGAAAAAGGATGCAGCCTTAAATAAATTTTTTCCATGGAGCATTTAAGAAACACATTCTAATATTGGCAAGCTAAGTATCCAAAAATTTAAAAAATGTTGGGTCAAAACTGAATCCTGATTCCACCATGGTTGAGCAATACTAGAATCACTTGATTAAACAAAATTGTGTTTTATTACATTAGTCTCACCACTGTTTCAATAGTCAGAACAATGGGGAGGACCATTCACCCTCGAATCTAAAACAAATCTCCTCAAATCTAAGTCAAATCACTAGATCGTTGATTTGGATCGATCCGAATAAATGATTTAGAAAATTATTAAAAATATAAAATAGAAATTTATAAGAACCTAATAGCATCTGTAAACTTAAAATGAACCTCTTAACATCCCAAAACCAATTCAATTCTGACCACGTCTCCTCCACTTGGAAAATCGCTGGGTTTTAAAACATTGATTCTCACACATTTGGCCAACCTATATAACCTAATTCAGCCAATCCTATTTGGTTTACCAAAGATCTAAAGCACCAGGAAAGAATGTGACTGCCTAGATGATAAGACATTAGTTACAAGTATCCAATGCCATTCTCACACCTGGTTTTGACATTCAATATATAGTGAACTAATTTTATAATTATAAGATTATACCCTGTATTAATAGAATTGTTTCGCTCTTTTTTTCAAATCCAACATAATCACGATTATCTAAGCTGAAAAGAATTGTTTCACTCTTTTTTTCACATCCAAAATAATCGCGATTATCTAGGCTGGAGCTTCAACCAACGAGGCCGAATCACACGGAAGCAGACCGAACACATAATTGTTTTTTTTTTTTAATACAATTTTGTACTTCAGCTGAAGAGCCCGAATCGAACCGAAGTGGGCTGAAACGGGATGCACTAGAGCTTTGCCTCAGACTAGGCCGAAAATAGAAAGATTTCGGCACGGCCCCTCCTCGGCCAAAGCGAAGCTGCCAACATTGGGTAGGGGATGCCTAACAGAGTAGGTTATGAAAAAATCACATTACTAACAAAAGTTCTAAAACACTTTCATAGGAACTAATGCTTGCAATATAAGGACATGGGTGTCCACAAACAAAGACATCCAAAACAATGACCCAAATATGATCTAAGGCTCAAACTAGCCAACTCAAGCAAGAAAATCTCTCCCCAAATGGGGTTGATTGATTGTTGGTCCTAATACAACCACAAATTTCTTTAAGAAATGTTTAAGATGAAGCAAAAACATGAGCATTCAAATAGAAGGAAAAAGATGCCAATCTCTCTCTCAGTAAATCTCCAAGTTGCTGCGATACCAATCTCTCTTACTCTGCAAATCTTTAAGATGAAGCCCCACTACGAAGAGCTTGAGATTTCCTCGTTCTCTTGGGCACCACTTGGGTTTCAGCCTGCAATGATCAATACAACCCATCAAAATTTCAAAAAAAAAAACACACATACACATTCTCCAGATGTTGCATACATATCGTCTTTCTTAGAATCCATGTCATTAAGCTCAGTAGAAGCTCCTTCAAAAGGATGATTACCTCTTTCTTGACAGGTGCCTCCTTTTCGGACAATATCAACTCAATATGACAGGGGGAGGACATGTAAGCTGCTCATCAAAAAGAATTCAACCTTGCTCAACACAACAATCCCTCTCCGCACCGGAAGAAACAAAGAATCAAGGATATAAAATTAAAGGATAGGAAACTTACAGTTGATTCTTCCATGGGCACGATAAGTTCGTCGCCTCTGCTTCTGGGCCTGATTCACCTGAATATGCGAAATGAATAGTGTATCCACATCCAAGCCCTTCACCTATAAAATTCAAATGCAAAAAAACCAATACAATATATAAGCTGAGAGATCAAGGCTTGAGTTTGTAACCAAGTAAAATCCAATAAAGGCTATAAAACAAGCAAGCATGGATGCGGAATTATTAGGGAAGATATATAAGGAGCATAGTTAGGGAGAAGAACGTAGAGGCCTGAATATGAGAGATATGATGTGTGATGAAAGACAAAGAAGCCTGATTGATAGCAGGCATCTTTGTGTGTGTGTGTGTGAGAGAGAGAGAGAGAGAGAGAGAGGATTGCATACATCAACATTGCTCTCAGCACTCTTGAGCAAGCTCAAGATGAACTTGGCAGACTTGACAGGCCACCGCCCTTGTCCATTTGGATGGCGGTTCTTTGCTTGAGCAGTGCGCCCAACACCTCCACAAAAGCGCCGGAAAGGGATGGCCTGCTTGTGGGTAAGAACGTCCTCCAGATACCTCTTAGCCTTGACCAATGGGAGCTTCCTGATAGCAAATGCGGTTTCCCTAGTGTTCCGGAGAGAAACAAGTTACACCATGAGTAAAAACCCTAATACGTTGATCCTGATATCACACAAATTACCATAAGCTTCTTCCAATAAATTCAATTTCCAGTTTTTCTTTGAAAAATTATCACAAACACATGGCACTCATAAGACCTCTAGTATATATATAAAATACGATGTCAAAATACAACAGAAATCACGGTAAAGATCTCTTCGGGGAAGACAATGAAAGAAATTATGGAGCCTACATAATCACAGTCAACTTTTTACCCTCAACAATAAAGTTATCGATCAATATTTTCCAAACTCGCACTATTTAGATGATATCACACTAATGAACTTCTAGAATATACATGCAATACAGCAGCTTTTTTTCTGTTCTCGAATATTTAAAAATATAGCAGAAAACGTGGTAAAGATCTTTCCTAGGAGCACAGTGAAACAAAATCTGGAGCCTACATAAAATTTATACAAAATCTGAAGCCTACATAAAATATAGCAGAAAATGTAGTAAAGATCTCTTTAAATGTACAATTGAGACAGCAGCACAGCCATAAAATTTATACAACACTCTGATATCTGATTGGAGCAACAGCAAACACTTTTTTCTAATGGGTCAAATAAGGAAAAAGGCAATCGAAACCCCACAGGAGACATTTCCAACTTACCAATCCAATCGGTTTTTATTAAGTCGCAGTATTGAAATTATAATTTGGGATAAAAAAATATCTTCGATAATATTCCATGAAAACATCAATCATTTAGCACTGCGTTATTGATACCCATGTTCACAATCCCATCCCAAAAAGGTTTATCCCAAGGACCTTATTAAAAGAGTACTAAAAACATTTAAGGCCAAATCAAACGTCTTTTGAAAAGCTATCAAATGTGTCGAGCTCGAGTGATTCACAAAAGAAAGACAAATTTGTATTAGCAATTATAATGTCACAACATTTATTGAACCTTTATTCACAAGTATAGTTTACAAAGGTTCACCCGATAATGGTGCAAATAATTTCCCTGAAGTTTACGAGACGCCAGCTCAGAGGAAAAAAGTACAGACCTCTGCTTTTTTCCCTCAGGTTACACAATCAGATCTTAACTCACAAATGGCATGCAAAGATCCACAAGAACAACAAAATGATTTTCTGAAACATCCAACTAGATGACGCTTCAAGGAAACAGAAAGAAGAATGGGTGAGAAAGAACGTTGCACTAAGAGTGTCGCGTGCACTAGCTACATAGTCCCAGACGCGAACAAAATTACCACTCTTCACATCCAACCAGAACAACAAACCATTTTCAACTAAAGTACATTTTTACTTCTTTCCTTTTTTTAGAATGGCACACAATTTGAATCTAGTCAAGTATATAACAATCGAAACCCCATAGCAGCCATTTCCAACTTATAAGTCTGATCGGTTTTTATTACGTCTTAGTATTGAAATTAGAATTTTGGATAAAAAAATATCTTCGATAATATTCCATGAGAAAATCAACCATTTAGCACAGTGTTAATGATACCCATGTTCACAGTCATATCCCACAAAGGTTTATCCAAGGACCTGATTAAAAGAGTACCAAAAACATTTAGGGCAAATTAAACATCTTTTGAAGAGCTATCAAATGTGTCTAATGATTAAATTTTGGATACAAGTGATGATAATATGTTGAATTATTCAAGTTGACAACAAAGTAGTGATGCAAACTCAGTCACAGCCATTAGTCTCTGTAGATAACCATATCTATGAACCGAGATCGAGTGATTCACATCAGAAAGACAAACTTATATTAGCAATTATAATGTCACAACATTTATTGAACCTTTATTCACAAGTATAATTTACAAAGGTTCACCCAATAATGGTGCAAATAATTTCCCTAAAGTCTACGAGAGGCCAGCTCAGAGGAGAAAAGTACAGACCTCTGTTTTTTTCCCTCAGGTTACGCAATCAGATCTTAACTCACAAATGGCATGCAAAGATACAAGAACAACAAAATGATTTTTTGAAAGATCCAACTAGTTGATTTTTCAAGGAAATAGAAAGAAGAATGGGTGAGCAAGAACATTGCACTTAGTCCTAGACTAACACAAAATTACCACTCTTCACATCCAACAAGAACAACAAACCATTTTCAACTAAAGTACATTTTTACTCCTTTTATTTTTTTAGAATGGCACACAATTTGAATCTAGTCAAGTATATAACAATCGGAACACCATAGCAGCCATTTCCAACATATCAATCCAATCGGTTTTTATTAAGTCTTAGTATTGAAACTATAATTTTGGATAAAAAATATCTTCGATAATATTCTATCAAAATATCAATCATTTAGCACTGTGTTATTGATACCCTTCTTCACAGTCCTATCCCACAAAGGTTTATCCCAAAGACCTGATTAAAAGAGTACCAAAAACAGTTAAGGCAGAATCAAACATCTTTTGAAGAGTTATCAAATGTGTCTAATGATTAAATTTTGGATACAAGTGATGATAATATGTTTAATTATTCAAGTTGACAACAAAGTAGTGATGCAAACGCAGTCACAGCCATAAATCTCAGTAGATAACTATATCTATGAACCGCGATCGAGTTATTCACATCAAAGAGACAAACCTATATTAGTAATTATAATTTCACAATATTTCTTAAACCTTTATTCACAAGTATAGTTTACAAAGGTTCACCCAATAATGGTGAAAATAATTTCCCTGAAGTTTACGAGAGGCCAGCACAGAGGAGAAAAGTACAGACCTCAGCTTTTTTCCCTTAAGTTTACAAGAACAAAACAATTTTTGGAAACATCCAACAACTAGATGAAGCAAAAAGGAAATAGAAAGAACAAGGGGTGAGCAAAAAAGTAGCACTTAAGAGTGTGGTGTACACTTGCTACATAGTCCCAGACTCAAACAAAATTAGCACTCTTCATATCCCACCAGAACAACGAATCATTTTCAACTATAGTCCTTTTTTACTTTTTTGTTTATTTAAAATGGTACACAATTTCAATCTAGTCAAGTATACAACAATTGGAACCACACAGCTGCCATTTTCAACTTCAATATATTCAATAATTCAGCCATAACAAATGCAACCTAAGTGATACAGAGAAATAATATACAAACAAACAACATAAGTAAAGCAAACTCATTATGGGCAATCAAGATAAAATACAAAAGAAAATAATATAAGAGCAAAAAACTCATCACAGTAGAGAGTTTGCTGCGACAAACACTGTTCGATCACAAACGTAGCTGGACATCACCAAATGAAAACCACAAGAATAAAAAAAGAGAATATTTAAATACCTTGAAGTGAACCCTCAGGTCAGATCCTCTGGCCTTGCAAGCTGAAACAAGAAAGCAATGACCCACATCACAAAAAAAATATTCTTAAAACCCTAACTAGAAAATACATCACTAGTTTATGGAAAGACCGAAAATAAGAGCATGAGGGAGCAGATTAACAAATTCACAAATAATATAATCCCCAAGAAATTACAAAATGAAACTTTTATCATAGAACCCAGTGCAGAAATAATCTATAGATTTGGAGTGTTACATTTAGTTAGATTGTCCGGCTCCCTGGAATACTTCACCTGTTAACAAAGAAAAGGAGAAATGAATACACATTAGAGAGAGAAAGAAACTTTCATTGTTACTGGGTCTTCTCCAATACAGGTAGAGATAGAGAGACAGTCCATGACTGATCTAGCACAGATGGAGAGAGAGAGATTACCATGACTGCTGATCGAAATGAAGGTCTCTGACTGCTCCCAGAGGCCAAGGGTTATGAGCGCCTCAAAGCTGTGAATTTTTGTGAATCCAAAAACCCAAAAATTCTCTCTCTCTAATCGCAACGACAAAAGTAGGAAACCCTAAGGGCCTGTTTGATAACTGAAAGCAAGTTCATGAACTGTAAATTGGAAGTTCCTCACGAAGTTCTTGAAGAACTGTAAATTACAAGTTACTTAAGAAGTTCTTGGTTTCTATGTTTGATAACCTCCCTGGGAAGTTAAGAAGTTCCTAGTTTCTGTGTTTGATAACCTCCTAGGAAGTTAAGAAGTTCCTGGTTTGGTCCCAACCAATTATATTCATGAACCCATAAGCATTATTCATTAAAAATAGAAAGGTAACAAAAAGAGCATGGTAGCTACAACATTCATAATTGGAGCTAAGTAAAACTGAACAAACCCAAAAAAAAAAAAATAACAAAAAGGTAAGTAAGATTATTCTCAATTCTACTAAAATTCAACATTTTATTCACAAACCCACAACGTAGCAGTGTATCATAGAAAAACATATCAGATTTCATGAACCCACATCATAGCTGTATATCAAACAATTTCAAAAAGAAAAAAAGCAAAGCAATTTAAATAAATAATTGGAACAAATGAAACCATTGAGTGAAGAACAAATTCAGGAATGAAAACAAGCAAGCTAGTAAGCAATAGCAACTAAACTTCACAGGTTTTCAAAAAATCACGAATTGTGACTAATGAGAATCATTAATTGTAACTAATGAGAATCAAAAGAGAACTATGGGAGAGAATCGACAATTGTGAACAAAGTAGCACAATGAATTTTAGTAATCATTGGAAGCTCAAAGTACAATCCAATAACCAAGTTCTACAACAACGAGAATGCAAAACTGTTTAGCATTTGACCACAATTCAAAGAACAGAATAAGAATGCAATGACCACAATTCAACACGCTGAACTGTTTAGCATTTAGCACACAAAAGGTTCCCAAGGATGCAAAAAAAGACAATGTTGGAAATGTACGTGCCCAACCAGAAATATAACCACCCTGTACTATTGAACCATAAATAAAGCATAACAAAAGAGAGCATAATATTCTCAATAACTCAGTAATAATTTTCTAAAAGGCATTGAAATGGCTAATGGATAAATTGAATTGTCATCCAAACAACATCCGAGCAATTTCTCAAATAAGGATGTGACATGGATTAGTTAAACAGAAATAATGAAAAAACGACAAACAACATTTTAATTAGCCATGAAAGGAAAGTTGATCACTTCGGAAATCAGTGTTCAATAAGAGCACTGAAACCAAATCCTCATTTATTATGAACCGGAAACCATGTTCCAATTTCCAAATTTGACTATGACCATTCCCAGAAACTAAAGTTTCTTGACAGAAGGCCTACAAAACTAAAACCAATAACACTCATTTGATGAGAATAGTCTTTGAAAAATAGCATATGGGTGTCAAATTTCTTCTCTCTCGTGGTGTCATGGCATGGACAATAGTCGTTGTGCTTGGTATCACAGAACTCGAAGAAGTTGGGGATGGTGGTCTCATAGTCTGATAGGTTTGGGAGTGAAGGATCAGAGTGGTGGTGTTCAAAGCCTAACCCCATTACCAAAACAATCTGCAGTTGAATTGGAGAATGAGTTTAGGAGAAGAGCATATGGTTTTTTGTGGAGATTTGAACCAAGCAAGTAGGAGAGGAGGTAGAGGGGAGAGATAAAGAAAAATATGAATTACCCAAGCTAATCATAACTACTTTTTTGACGGATTACCCAAGCTAATCTGAATATCCGAATCAAGTCAGTCTTTTTTTTTTCTAATCCTCTTTTTCAAATAAACTATTTTTGGAGTGGCTTCTCTAAATAATATTCGATTTGGAGCTCCAAAAGATTTAAATCTTTTGCATTTGTCCAAATTTGAGTTTCAGGGTTGAGCATTCTTGGAGATCTAATTCAATTTTTTCAATTTTTTATGGGATTGTTTCCACAATAAAAACAATATTGAACTAGGGTGATGCTAACGTCGCAATCTCACAGTGAATCAAGCTAATCAAAATTACAGCAGTCTGGAATAAAGTATATTGATTCCAACAAGAACCGAAACTATCAAATGATTGTTCATCCATATTCTTATCATGCAGACAACCAACAAGCTCTCTAATATCTTATCATGCAGACAACCAACCAGCACTCTAATACAGATAGATTGTCAGGGAACTTGATGTCAAGCACTCAAAACAATCAGTTAACCCTGAATCTAGATTTACAACATAGAAAAATCACGAAATAAAGCTTTTGCATTGCCTTAGAACTCGATTTACAACATAGAAAACTATTAAACCAATTTAATACTACATTCAAACATAGGCAATTATACAAAAATAAGTAGATTAAACCCAAGAAATGTTTTTATATGGTTTTCACCAAAAAAAACCATGAGAACAATGTTGTTAACAGAGAAATCCGAAATCAGCAAGAAAAAAAGAAGAAAAAAATGCAAAATCAACAGAGAACTCACTGATTGAAGGTACCTGTTGAGGTTGCAAGGCCGCGAATAGTACTGGGCGAGAGGCTGCCTTTACTGGGAAGAGAGAGCGAGAGAACCTTCGCAGTGGAGCTGCTGTTTTGCTGAGCGGCTAATTGCGAAGACAGGGTGGGTTGGTGAGCGGCTGAGTAAACCTAGGGCACAATTTTACCGGGGAACTTTTGATATAAACTTCCCTTTTCTAAGTTCCGACCTTTTCGTCGGAAATTTTTTTACATAATGAAGTTCGGACCATGAACAATGATAGGTAAGTTTTTTATTTACCTTACCATTTTTATCGAATATAAAAAATTGAACAGTAATAGGTAAGTTCTAACTTCCAAAAAAATAATTATAAAAAAAACTCGCTCTTGATGTTAGAGTAATAGGTAAGTTCTAACTTTCAGAAAGCAATTATAAAAAAACACACTCTTGGTGTTAGATTGTGACTCTCGTATCTCAGTGCATCTAAGCAACCATTGAAAACCCTTTTACATGGTTGGTGATAATCCGTTAATTGACATCAATGGTGTACACCATGTTGTTCTCTCTTTTTCTCTCTCGTATTTTTTGGCTCTTGTTTCTTTACTTTCATTATTATCCATCGATCTCTCTCATATTTCTTGTCTCTCTTTTTCTGTTCTTATCCTTTTCAATTTAAAATGAAAGTTTTTAGGTGTTGTGATTGTGATAGACAATCAATAAGAAGAAAAAAATTCCTAATTTGATCAATCAAATAAAAAGTCCTGGATATCTCGTTCATACACATATTCTCTTTGTTTCATGAGTCTCTAGTGAGTTATATACAGCGTTAGAAAATATTAAATCTTTGATGATTCCATCATACATAATGGAGTTGGGAAAACTTCTGGATAGTTATCCTCCACCTGAATTGAATTCTTTCTGGTTAAATAATCTCTTTCTAGTTGCTCTGGAACAATTAAGAGACTCCTCAGAGATACTAAACCACCCATCTTTTTCGTGATATATAAAAAAACAACTTCACTATTAATTGATTCGTCTTTTTTCTGATTAATCTTTTTCTTCTGATTAATTTCTCTGCCTATTGAGTTTTTCCATTTTGGCTTGGCGGGTGAAATTCATTCCATGAGAGGGAAAAGTATGAATGTTCAACCTCCACGCAAACTAATGAGTTATTACCCATTGCATTATAGCGAAGCTTTATATGCAGTGCTATGAGACACGCTCAAATCCACTCGAAGTCCATGACAAAATCTCATCTCGAGTATAGAGTCAAAGTATGTAGCTTGTTGTCTTACAACAAAAGAAGCCATCTAGTTAAATAAGTCCTTAATTAGCTCAAATTTGATCCAGTAAGGCATTTGTATATGAGGATCTTTTATAATAATGAGGCAGTGATTTGCATGACTAAGAAGCTAGGTTTCATAACAATGAGATCTGAGCAGGAGAGATTGAGGTAACTTATCTCTTGACAGAGGTTGTGTTAGCAAATCCTTGACTAAATAATTAATAATAAATACTAAAGAATTAATGACAAATATATTTGCCAACTATGTACATGAGATGAGCTTGAGAGACAATGAGATGGAGTGGTTATAGGACCTTCCAAGGGATGTTAAGGTTATGTGGTGTTTAAGACCATGAGAGCATGTAAACATAACAAATATAGTGAATTGTGCAATTCAATGGGAGTGTATATGGATTGACTAACCCAAAGTCTGTGACCAGGGACATATGTCCAAAACCATTTTTTCCCCTAGGCATATGCACTATCATGAAGGTTTTAGGAAGGTCATCCATTGTTAAGGTCAAAGTGATGCTTGACAACAGTTTGTAATCCATCCAAGAGAGATTTATGGTATTCTGTTTACGGTTGTAGGCTTATGAGAGTAAGGCAAATAATTCTCAAAAAGTTTTTGCACGGAATATACCCACGACAACCACCTTGTGGGAAACAAACGCGTAGAGGGATACATGTATATATTAATAAAGAGAGTCTCAATTGCACTATGTTAATACGTGCATCTGACTTGCTCTTAAGGAGAACATGTAATCCACATACTAGAATTGTGGTTCCACTATTTATTAGTCAGCGTTAATAGGTTAATCATGAGTCATTGAACATGAATATGGGTCATGGGTTATGTTGTTTGGTCTAAAAAGATAGTTGTAGAATACAATTTCTAGCTCGGAGTGCCTGACATTTACTTTTCTTTACCATTGGTACCGATTCACTCCTAGATGTATTTCTAAGAGTGTTTTTTTTTTTTGGAACTTAAAAAATATTGTTTTCAGCTTTAATTATGATTATATGATTTTTTAGAATTTGTTTAATTTGTGAAAAAATATTTTATGCTATAAACACCCAAAGAGAGCAACATTGATATTTTACAATTTAGTAGGGGTATATTTTAAGTGTGATCCATATACGGGGGCCAAGGACCCAACTCCTACAAGTGAGTAGGCAACATAAGGATGGGATGTGGAACTCATAAGGGCCACACCACATAGAGGTGGGATGTGGGGCTTGTAAGGACTACACACCTCACACAAGATGAAACGCCCTTAATTAAATTTAAATTATTATTTATTCATCATTTATTTTAAAATTCTTAATTGTATTAAGAGTTATATTTTGATTATGAATCGTACATGGACTATGACTCTTATGTAGATCAGAATTCAAATAGAAATAAAAGTCGAAATTGTATTATAAATCATATTTCGATTATAATTCCTACTTAGACTAGGACTCCTACTTAGATCAAAATTCTAGTTAAAATAGAAGTCGTAATTGTATTAGGAGTCTTATCTAGATTAGGATTTCTACTTGGACTAGGCCCCTACCTAGAAGTCCATCTTATCCTAATTTAACTAGAAGTAGATATAGATAAAAAATTTAGAGAATAAGGATCCGAAAATACCTCATTGAATTGTGATAGCTGGTTTTTTAGATGGATGGCTCAGATTGGTTTTCTCACTCACATCACAAATTATCAATAATTTCTATTGGTAAAATTAAATTCTAATTAATATAGTCACCCTAGAAAAACTATGAATAAGGGATTCACCACTTATTCCATTCATTTTATTTTCTAGCCTCTCTCTCTCTCTC